TTGACATGAGAGGTAAGAAACAACCAGAAAGCTTGTTCTACTTGTGGGAGGGAAGACATGAAAGAAAGGGGGGAAAAATGATAAAGCATTGTGAATTAAATAAAAAAAAGATGACTGATAATGATTGACTGATTCTGAAAAAATCAAGGGAGAAGAGAGGATAGGAGGATGTTCTCTATCATAAAATAAATAAATAAATGAGAAGAAAGAAAAAAAAGGAATGGGGGAAGGCAGAGGATGTATATGAAGGAAAAATTGCGACAAAGAAGGGGAGGGGTGAAAGGATCAAGAGATTGAAGGAGAAGCAGAAGAGGAAGAGGAAGAAGCGAAGGCGGATCTGGGCGTAGTAGGGAGGGTGACCGGCGGGGATTTAGGAGGATGAGTAGGAGTCTGAGGAGGGGGAGGAGAATGAGGGGTGATAGTCGAGCACGAGCTACGTTCGGAAGAGTTACAGGAAGAGACCGAGGAAGCAGACGAAGATTCATGGTGAATCAGGCCAGAATGGGGCGTCAGGATGCCGTTAAGATGGCCCGATCTGAGCCGGTCCTGTTCGGTATCCGTGTCCGAATCCGAATCCGATCCTTCACCATCCATTCCTTCTTCTGATTCTTCGTCAGTCTCTTCCGTCACTATTATCGTTCTTCTTGTTGTTGTTGTTGCTGGTGGGGATGTGGATGTGGATGGGAGTTTGCAGCGAGTGGGGGTGGTGATTGAGGAGGATGATCCTAGCAATCGTTCCGTGTAGTCCTCAAACTCGGACGCACTGATCATCAATCTGAAATCGCTCATCAACAAGAACTTGATCTCCAATTCTTCGAGCTCTTCTAACGGCAACCCTCCAACCTACATATCGTTCCGTCCAAAGACAAACAAACAAACAAGCACATCAAACACGTCATTTTTCATGACCAAGGTTCTCAGTGGCGATGAAAAAAAAAGCGTTGCAAGTTGAAGAAACTTACCTTGGCATATCGCGAGTTGGTGTAAAAGACGTCGCTCAATAGTTTGCTTGCGGCAGTGATGGAGGCGATTAAGAATCGATGAACGTTCCACGAATCGATGACGAAATGGAAGTTGAATTGAGTGAGATGATTAGGCGACAGATTCCATTTGTTCTTCTTCTTTTTCTTCTTAGCAATCTCATTGAAATTAGTTGCAGATGATGATAATGATGATGATGAAGTAGGAGTTGTTGTTGATGATGTTGTTGTCGACGTAATTGATGATGAAGATGATAATGATGATAATGGTGTTGTTGTTGTTGTTGTTTGTGATGAGGATGATGATGAGGCTGTTGATGATGGATGACAGTGATTGAACGTACAGAGCCTATCCAAGTAGATTAAAGTCGACAGAAACACGCCATTAGAGGTTGGACAATACTTGAGGATGCGAAGCAGATAGGCCTCGATCGAGATTTGCGGGACGATTTTCGCATGGAAGGTGAGGATTGAGTTGGGCTTTGAGAGCAGTTCGAGCGAGGCCGTCGAGAGCTGCTGTTCCTTGTTAGTACTGCTATGATGAATGTTGGGTGAGCAGCTGGGTTCGGCAAGTGGTGATGAATACGGCGAACGTGTGTTTTGTTGATTTAGTTTTTGGAAATGGATAACAGTCGGGCTTTGAGTTGGACGCGTGTTTAGTCTCCTTCCTTCGTCCTCGTCCTCGTCTTCTTCGTCTTCTGTTTCATCATCATCATCATCATCCTCGCAGTCCTCGTCATTATCACGTCTAGGGTGATTATCATAATAATTGAGATTCTCAGTCATGAATGAGTCCTCTTGATGAGTGCTTGCTCGTTCTTCTGTTTCAGCTCCAGGCCGTCTTCGTCTCCTCCGTCTGAGCAGATCCTGTGACTTTCTGCCAAGTTCGCTAGAGGGTGTTGCAGGTCTTCTTCTGGTGTGATCATTGAGATGGTCATTCCTTGAGGTGATTCTATCGAATAAGTTAGCTAGGTTCTTCAGTAGGGTTTCTTGAGGGAAGCTTTCCAGATCGATCTTCTTCTTCTTGTTGTTGTTTGTATGCCTAGTTTCGTTTAACTTGATGGATTCTTTGAGTGAGTTTGAGGAGTGATTGTTGTTAGGCAGTTGTATTCGATCTACTGTTGTTGTTGGATGGTGTTGGATCTGCAGTTGGTTAGTTCTGAGTTGATTATTACAATTCATTCGATGTTGGTTTGCTTTAAGTGGTAGTTGTTGTTGTTGTTGTTGCTGCTGTTGACCATCTTGATGAGTTTGTTGCTGTTGGTTGGTGGTGGTGGTTGTTGTTGTGAGAGAGTGGTTCATGTTTTTTTTTTTTTGGTTTTTGGTTTTTGTTTGGTTGAGTTTGCTGTGTTTAAATTTGTCTTAGTCAGGTCAGGAAACTAGTTTCACGGGGAAGGGAAGGGGGGGGGAGAGAACAAAACTGTCCCCAAGTTGTTGCCATATCCCCTCCCCACCGGCCATGACCACCCACCCCCCTTTGATAATCTCATCTCATCAACATTCATGGCAAACTTCATCAATCATTCAGACTCAGCCAACACTACTGATCGATCTATCAGTATCTACTCTAATCCGAATCGATCAACACTTCAAAAACCAGTCAAAGGACCATGTAGGCTTATCATCAACTTCAGAAACCTCTTGACGATTTATGTACGTAAGCGAGCGGAGCACGACCAATAACACTCGGTCTATACTCGCCGCAGCACGACAGTCACACCGTACAAACCTGGTTTACCAAGAGGTAACCTGATTGATCTGGATGGCATTGGATCCCTCTTGGACATCTGTGCAATCTCAAGAGTACCCTTTTGGCCCAAAGTGCTAATTTCATACCTTTTTCCAGCTTCTTCTGGAGCATGTTTTTGTTATGTTTTGCCAAATTAGCGTACCTTTTTTAACACCCCCCCCCCCTATTGGTGGGCTTGCCAGGGTAGTAATTAGGCCTTGGGACCTCAAACTCATGAGGACATATTTTCATGGATTATGGAGATTTATCAATAATCACAAGTCCTTCCAAAACAAAATAATGGAACATTTTTCAATTCAACTCTGCATATTCTTGGCACCCAATGGTAGTCAGACCTGTTGGTATATTTGAAACAATTCTAATAGAAAAACATGCCATCATGATTGATACCATCCTTTCTGGGATCAAACACCACTAGCATTTGTGCTTCAATGATACAATAACTTGGATTTCAAATCCTACAAAATAAACCAAACCATCTGCTGTCACTGAATTTGGATGGATATTGAGTCTCCTGATTTGCAGATTGGGTTTTCTTTTCAATGCTTATTCATCTGCACTTTAGGACAGTAGAAACTCTGATTTATCAGAATCAATCTTTTTTTTTACAAATTTTCATATCACCCAAATTGATGATTGCTTGCAGCCAGTTTAAGGATTTCAACATCAAATCTTTCCACTTGTCCTCAATCTTTGTGGACAAGACAGAAAAGATGATAAATTTTCAAAATTGAGTTCCATGATACAGACCCTTATTCTCGGAAGATAAACAAATCCTCTTGACTTCCTTTGCTCTACAAGATGCCTTGTCACGTCATCCACAAAGTAGTATAATAATGCTTTCTCTCTCTTTGTCATTCAGAGCAGTTTATTATAGCTATAATGGATTTAATTCTATAACCAACTGTGGATCAACAGTCAATATATTGGTACTCTCAATCATCCAATAAAATAAGGAAAGTTTCAACTAGAATCAAAGTAAGCAAACAAAATTGAAAAGATGTTAATTGATTTAATGGAAGATCAAAGAAAATCCATTTTTGACTATATCATCTGGTTGAAACGATTGAGTTTTATATGTTGGAAGCTCTGGCTTGTGAAATTTTGTCTGTGTGCATGTTTTCCATAGAAAGTCCATGTATGCTTTAATGTTTAGATTTGATGCAGCACAACACCAAATCATATCTCTAATATTTCACAATCACAATCAAACTGATCATATTTACTTAACTATTTTACATTTGTTTATCAATAAATATCAGAAAGAGAAATGATACATGGAGAAATTTTGGTTTTTGCATCAGGGTTTTAGATACATCAGAAACTGTCTAACACATTTTCTTCACAATCTCCTCAAGAAGATTTATCTATTCTTCATTTCGTTTTTTTTCTTGTTGGCAAAATTGGATTGTTGATATTGTTGATGAAAAACAAAAATGTCCATTATTTTGAACCACTGTGTCTTTACCTTTTGATCAATACCGTAGATAAGAAAAAAAGGGGGGGGAGGAGGCTGACAGTGTTTGAAATAACAAGCAATCTCTCTGGAGGAAATTGCCTCCTCCAGAGCAAAATTCAGTATTGTTTAAAAGTGAATATATATATATTAAGAAAGATAAAAGAGGAAAATGAGGAAGAAAATGATGTGGGTTGTCCTCGAGAAGAACGTGGTGTAACGATGTAAATATATACATGCGTATTTGCTTATATACGGAAGGAGACTTATATGCGATTAACAAAACGAAGGGGGTAAGTTGTACTACTACCTACATTACAACTCCAACCAATATTTTTGTGCATTTAGACAAATTATCACAACATTCTACAATCTTTCAGGGTTTTCATTTGTTTATCTTAGTTTTGATGTATGTTTATGTTCTTTATATAAGTGTTTCAACACCACGAGGAGAAGATTGAAATGAGGGGATATACGAACGATTCTGATAATCACAATTGGCTGTTTTTTGCACAAGGAAATCAAGCCTGCGAGGTTTATGATATTTTTGGGGGTAGAGAGTAGGGGTTGAGAGGGAGTGCGTTTTGTCAAAGCGAGGTGCGACACTTGTCTGCTCGCCTACGATGAAAGATAGGATCCACCAGGGCGTACATAGACAAGCAAATCAAATTGTCCTTCGGTTGGCGCTTTGACTTGAACCCTGATTTTTATTTCCAGTAAGATTTGAAGGAATTTGCCGGATTTATTTTTTTTCTTTCTTCTTTGGCTTTTCAGAAATTCAGATTGCGAGGTGATCCCGGGGCGAATGGACTTCCAACGGATTGCTTTTCCGGAGGGAAGAGACAGATCCTCTGTCTACTGCGATTTTGTGTCGGTTTAGCTGTGATAAAACTTGACGTCAACTGATTCATGGGAGCGTTGCGAGTGGTTTGGGTCTCTGGACTCTTTTATCTCTTGTATTTTGTCAAGATCTAACGAAATTTGTCTTGTTTTGTGGATGCTGTTGGGGGAGGTGGGAGTTAATTGTTCCTCATCGTATACTGGAGTCGGTGGTGTCCTCAAGATGAATACATTTCGCGTCATCTGTTTGATAGACCAATTTCAGTAATTTGTCGGTTTTCTATGCTCCAAGTCAAGGATTACAAGTTGAGCAAAAATCTGAATAAATGCTTACTCCAAAAGCCAAGACATCGATCGCACCACGTAGAGCAAAAAGAGTACTGAGCACGAGAGCGACGACCGGATTTAATGTTGAACGTCGATAATTCTCGATCAGTGAGATGACTGTGAGCGGGATAGAATATGCCACGAAGCTAATAGGATACACCAGCATTGTTCGGGCAACCACGCGGAGGCCTTTGTTTCCCACTTTTTGGCGCTTGGCGGCTTTGCTCAGGTTTGAAAGCGAACCGGACATGCTGCTCATCGTTGAAGGTGTGCTGGGTGCTGGGATTACAATGGAAGACCGCCGTAGAATGTGTCCCTCTCCTTTGTAGTGAGTCCGTATTCTGGTGAAGAGAGTTCCATATAGCGCAATGAGTCCCGTTGCGGCTAACCAGATCCACACGTCTTGGGCAGGCAGGTCAGATTCAGATGGGCAAAGGTGGGAAAAAACAAGCAGGGGGTTCCATTTGAGTTTCTGGTCCAAGTTTCAACCTTTTCATTTTGACTTTCAAAACTCACTATGAAAAGTGATTTGATAGGTCAAATAATCAGGACTGATCCAGCACCAAGCTCCATTCCAATTGTCTATATGAAAAAAGCAGAATGAAGTATTCGAAGCATATAAGTTTGAGTCACTCCATGTTGACTGGCCACCGAGGAAGGAGCACTCGATGCTTACAGAAAGAGTGCAGTTCAAGACTAGAGAAGCTGAGGAAGCCTAGGACAGCAAAACAGCAAGAGAGCATCCAAATCCCAACGGTTGAAAACTGCGTATACCAGCTTAGCATGGGCCCGTTTGAAAGAATTATGAATGTTTCGATAGCTATGAGCAAATTCTAATATAACATCGGATCAAGAATGAGGGTTGTGAGTGAATATTCTTTGCTACCAAAGGAAAATGTGCTTACGAGTAGAGCGGATGCTACGTCGGCTAATTGAATCAAAACGCCTTGTGAGGTGCAAGTTATTGAGGCTGTAACTGGCCCATGTTCATGGAAATTGATAACTGTCGATAATTTCAAGTGGTTTTAGCCGTCTGGTCACGCTGACATTGTAAGATTGATTGTCTGAAAAAACCAGCGGTGAACTGACAATTGTGCATGAGTCCAATTGCCAGGAGCATATCAGCAAAAACGAGGTTGAGGAAGATCGGCTAGGCTCCGCGGTAAATGTGAAAGCTTGTCAGAACTTTTCCTTGTAGGATGTTTAGTGGTAAGTAAAGTCGGACTGACCCCGAAAGAGGTTTGCATGAAGACCAGCCGGAGAGAAGCCCACGTACAACCGGGCCTCTTGGAGACTATTGACAGGATAGTTACATAGAGTAGGAGAAAAAGAGTTGCGAAAAGGGATATCTTTTATTTTATTTTTGCTAGGTTAGCCCCCAGTTTCCCCAAGTCCATCAATTCTCGCAGTAGAAAAAAAAAGTATCTGAACCCACACTAGCAGCGCCTGCAACGATCTGGAAGGGACCACATGGAAAGAAATGTAAATGCCGGTGAGGAAACATTGAACAAACTCTCGAAAATGAGCTTAACTTACCAGAAGTCCATGGCGATCGACTGTTAGATGGGACGGCGGGGGTTGGTATGATGGCAATGAGACGCTCATCGGAAGAAGGATTGGGGCGTCAGAAGAGAGAATATCGGCGTTAAAATCATTCACAAAGAAAAGCAACACAAGCGGAAGAGGGGACCTGAGTCGATCAAGTGACTAGACCAAAACAGCATGTCCTCCGGCTTGGGGATCACAAAGAGGAAAGAGAGAAAAAAAACACGCAAGCAAGAAATAGACAAGAAAAAAAAACGAAACGGATTGAGAAGTGAGGTCGGGAGTAGGAACAAATGGCAGGTAAAAGAGAAATGAATCCCTTTGAAGTTTGAAGGAAGGTTTGTAGTCACAGTAATCTGGTAAATGTTAGGGAGTGAATAGATTTGAGTGTCGCTTCGATACTCTCGGTGCCCGTAGAACTATCAACAAGGACGGCGTCGCTGAATCGGACGAAGGTTGAACTGTTCGCGGCCCTCTTTTTGATAGTCATGTGCCATCGGGAGTCAAGTTTGTAGTCAGCAACCGACTCGCTGAAATACAGAAGAAAACTATTGAGACTACTTTTTTTTGTTGGTTTACAGGATCAGAGATATTCAGAAGCTCTGGGGATGTGTTTCAGATCATTTGGAAGTCGGTTGAGCAAGTCTGTAGCTGACTATATACTGAATACATAGCTCTTCCTAAAGAAAAAATTGCTTCGTGTCTTTCGAATCACTTTCAACACCTATAGTTGTCCCAAGAAGTTCGGATAGATGCAGTGTTTATTTTTCTATTCCGGCAAGCAATCACGCTATGTATACCATACCTCAAAATGCAGAATGACGGCTGGAAAAAAAAACGAAAAAACCAGTTAAGCCTAGCGGGCATGGGGCAGCACAAGGAGCCAAAGATATGTTTCAGTTTGTAGTGGGTTGGGCTAGGTATTACTCGAGCAGAACCATTGATCGTCAAGGGTCGAAGGTGGCGTTACTGAAGCAACGATTCGATCCCCACACGGGGCCACCAAGCAACACGCATCTGCCTCTTGGCTCCTTGTCTACTGAAGAAGGCGGTGTGTTGTCACCATAGCCTTAAGTTGCCACCTGGCAAGGAGACCGTGAATTCTGTTTCGGGCGGTATAGATATTTATAGACTTCGCATATATCTTGACCGGCTTTCGGGGTCCACAGCAAGCGCTCGACATCCTCTGCATTCCTGAGCCCCCGCAATACTCTGAACCTCAACCAGCCCCGGCGTCTAGCCCCTAAAAGTTTCGCTGGGCACAGACTCTCAAGGGCCGACAACTGATCATCAATGATAACCGCCCAAGGTGCGAGATCGTATCATCCCAAATGAATTAATGGAGGAAATGTCTGCTTTTCGTTATTACCCTTGTTATTCCCATCCCTGAGGTATCCAGTTAAGCCTGAGCTATCAAGCCTGCATTAATAAGTGACAGTTGAACAGAAAACTGAAACGACTTGAATTTTACAAATTCAAGAAACTGTGCCACCACTTGATGATTTTTCTTTCTTTCCTTTATGACTTGAAATTCATTATATAGACTCCCTTTGCATTCTCAAAATTAAATCCAACAGAAAAAGTGTGACAAGTAAGACAAAGAACTTTCAATCATCCCTTAATTCCCATCCTGGAAAACTCCTGTTTTTTACTTTTTTTTCAATCATGTTCCTTTCTAGTGTTTCTTTTTTCTTTGTTTTTTTGAGCCATTTTTCCCCCCTGTTGGTATCATGATAGTAGGTTTTTCCCTTGAGTAAATTATATTCAAAGGAACTACTCAGTCTGAAATTTCGCCAGTTTATAACCATGTTTTCATTTGTTTTTTTTTTAATTTTCAACCAATCTATAGAAAGAAAAATAACCAAAAATTTTGATCCCATCCCAAGAATGATGATAAAAGTTAGCTTGGCAATGTGAAGGTAACTTGACTTGATACAAGCCTGAGAAAAAAAAAGGCACAAGCAGCTGTGTGTATGTAGATGCTGCAATGAAGCCTGATCAATCCCAGGGTATAAATTTGTATGACCTTGTTGCAGTGATATTACTATGTAAACCTATGTGTATGGCATAATTGTTTGATGTTCCGTTGATTATTCAAGTTCCGCCCTCGAAGCTGATGAGAGGCGATGAATTTTAATTTTGGACATCACTAGAATTGATTTTGTTTTTTTGATTTGCACAGGAATAATCCGGAACAAACCAGCTTGGCACCGCACATTAAAGCTTTTTTCCAAGAGCACTAGGGTAGTTTGTGGTACATAGCTGATGATGATGATGGTGGTGGTGATGGTGATGTCATTGAAGGCCCAGCTTACATATCTTTATCTTTGAAAGATAAATACACGACTAAAAATAAGATGAAAGTTGAACACCAGCTCAAAGTTGTAAAATAAATGACTGCATGGATAGATGTAAAAAATAAATCGAGATGGATGATTTACACATAACTTTTGACCCCCTCAAGTTCGTAATGGTAACTTACACTATATACAAGCCAGGTCAAGAATACCAAGGCCTGTTAAACTTCAAGTGAGACACGAGATCTTTCTCGTCGTGTGGCCATCTTCAAGGCAATCTTCAAGTCACAAAATAAACCCGACGGCACACGCAACTTTTTTTTCTGGTTTAATCCTTCTCAGAACCAGTGTGTACAAAAAAAAAAAAAACGACAAAAGCCTATGAGCAGAGCAGGTTGGAGCCTGAAGAATCTAACTGATGATGATGATGATTGCAAGGGCATTTTTGCAACGATGATCTTGATCCGTTGTTATATGGCGCGACAGATTTGAGAAGATGTGATTACCATCCTGAAGAATGCCGAGGGGATCATCACGTTGTAAGTTAAGAGAGATTGGTGGCTCAAGACCGACGGATATGTGAAGGCTTGAATCGCTGAAGAGTGTACATAAATGAAGCCGAAGCTCCGGCCTCCATGAATCTGAAAGCAAAGGCGGACCGGCAATATGGACGGACTTATAGGATGTCGGTGGCAGTGCTAGTGTCAATACTGGCGGGATGATGATGAGATGTAGAGGGGTAAAAAAAGGCCGAGATCAGCAGACAACAGAAGCTTATATACACAAGGGTTTTTTTTTTATTCAGACACGGCAGATGATGAGCATGGAGCTTAATCAAGAGGACGATGATCGGGCCGAGGGATGCGGGACGCCGATGAACTTCTCTCATCCGCGCTGCTCTGGCCGTGTGGTCCATGTAATCGTTGTAATCCGATCGAAATCCAACTGAGTTCTTTGACAAACAAAACCAGCGAGTCTCATTTTCAACCTTCCCGGATTGTGTGTGTGTTTGTGGAATGTGGGGGAGATGTTTATAATGAAATCGAAGATCTTCTTACAAAAAGTTCTACATAATAACAAATAGGGAGGAGAACAAGAGAGAGAGAGAGAGAGAGAGAGAAAGGATGATGCCGGGAAGACTGAACCCTGGAAAAAAAGACAGGAAGTTGTACAACAATACTTCTCTGATTATATTTGAATCGAATCGAATCTAATCTAATCTTAAGCTGACCGGACTGAAGTTACGAGGATGTTTGAGTTTGGAGGCTGTGAGTTTGGGATGTGAATGTGATGAGGTTTGTGTGTTGTGGAGTGGCTCGGATGGGTTGGTTGGTTGATGGGCAATTGAAGTTTGATTGGCTTGACCAAAGCGTTGGTCGGCGGGGGAGTTCAAAGTTGCCGGTGAGCTGCCAGTGCCAGTGGCCGGGATTTTAGGAGATGGGCACAGTCTGTGAAATCGGTCTATACAATCTTTTACCCAGCCTTTGCTCCTCCTCTTCCCCTCTCTCCGCGTCCGATGGTATATTCCACTCTGTCTAGGGTCTGTTCTCTTGTCTCTGCAGGCATGAATTGATGATGATGATGATTTGAGAGATGAGGGTTCGCCGATGAAGTAATGAACTGGGCGGTGATGGGCCAGAGAGTTTTCGACTTTGCTTCACTAATTTCATCGGCTTCTTCTTCCTCATCATCTCCCCTACATCAATAACTTCCGCCCGATCTTCCATCCAAGCCAAGCAATAACGAACGACATGGCTCACCCTTTTCTCGGCTTCTCTCAAAGCGAATATTAAGCCCAACTGTCTTTCTTTCTTTCGTTTGGCTTATCTATGGCTTTGTCAACCATCAATCAAGCCGGCCCATGCTATTCTCCACCCGAAATCTTCAATTAGCTCGGAGATCTCTCTCCCCCCCCCCCCCCCAAAAAAAAACAGAAAGAATGATTGATCCCCCCTTTAAAAGTTCAACTGAGGGGTTGATCACCCGGATGCCGATATTGGATCTTACTCATCCAAGTGTCGGCATCATCTGCTCAGCAGGGCAGCAACAGACTCTCGGCGGACCATAAATAGCCGATTCCTTCTTCCGCCATTCTCTTCTCTTCTCCTCGTGCTCTCTACCAGAACATTCTCTTCATCCCCTCATTATAAAGCATCCTGCACTTTCTTGGAGTTCTGACTGAACCACCCGACTAAAATCTCTGAAAAAGAGTCCTTCCATTGCATAGTCAACACTACCATTTTTTCTTAAAAATAGAACCACACAAAAGAGCCTTTTTCTCAAAAAAAAAAAACAAAAAACCACACCACATCTCAAACCGACGACCATGCCTGCATTACCCTCAGATTACTCTCTCTTTACCTCCGTCAATGATCATGATCATAGTCTATCCCATAGGCTCACCGATCACCTCATTCCTCAGGCCTACTTCTACAATCATCCTGACCGCACTAATACTCCTCCAGCTGAGAGTTTAAACCACCGAGATCGAGCCTCTTTCGATACCTGCTCACTTCTCAAACAACGAGACTGTCAGTATTTCTTCCCCTGGTTAATATCAACTTATCCACGCTTCTCTAATTATCATTATTCTTCTCTTTCAATTGCTAACCTTTTTTTTTTGTCTTCTTCTTTCGTTCTTCCCATTCGCTTTTTTTTAGCTTTCCAGCAGCCAGCTTCTGGCATCTTGAGACAACCGGAATCATTCAGTCAGGGAAAAAATAATAATACTTTGGTACGTCGGAGTTTCCTCCTAATTCCTTAGAGTCCAGAATGTTTATTTATTCATTATTCTGCGGATGAGTTTGTTGATTTTTTTGCGGAATTCTGACTTATGATCAAATGTAGAAGATATCTGAGAGTGATTTAAAATCGAACACCACTCATAATAACTGGGAGAACCGAATGACAGACGAAACTCTAGAACCTGCTCCAAGTCCTCAAGAAGATTTCTACAAAGATTTAGATCAACTCGGAATACTAGATTATTTACAAGATTATCCAGTCAGTTCAGACGACCAATATTTCGATCAATTCCATGGCTTGGATTGGTTAGAGTTACAAACCGATCGACAAAAGCCCCTAGAGCTATCAAGCTTTGATCGAACTGTGACCGGACAAGCAATCTTAAAAAACCCTTCTCTTACAATTCAACAACAACAGCAGATTCCTGAGACCGAAAACCCCCATAGAGTGATCTCTTGTTCATCTTGCGGAGTCACCAAACCGCAGATCGAACTCTCTCGCCTATGGCCTTGCTGTCATCCGCACTGTAACACTTGTATAAACACTCTCATCAATGCCTCCTGTAATGACCCTCCTCCTCCCCAGATGGTCTGCTTCTTTTGTAGCCAACACGTCGACGGTTTTGATCCTCCTAGTGCGTTCTTGAGTGCTCATAATACCCTCTTCGGTCGCGTGAATCATTCAACCGGCTTGCCACCTTTTCGGGCCAATCAGAAGTTCTTCAGTTCCGGCTTGGACAGATTTGGTCAGTGCCCTGGAATGCTTACAAGGAAATTAGATGACGCACATTACAGCAGACAAGCAAACGCACGTTGCTAATTTTGTTCTATTTTTTTTCATAGAATCTGTTAACTACAATGCGTCACCACCAAGCGATCAATCTGGACTTTGTACCGGGTCTTTCAGCTCCGTGTGGAGCCCCAACCCACAACTGATCAATGAAACCGACAAGCTGGTTTCGACGTTCATGAGCGACGATTCCAATATACCTCTTCAAAGCGGCCCAGGAAATCCTTGTCCCTGGCCCATCGTTCGCGGTACGGTTTTTCCTTTTCCAATGACTCGAAACCTTGAATGATATAAATTCAGAGCGCGTCCTAACCCTTTGTTTTCGTGATTGGACCAGTTGATAACATTTCGTGGAGTCTTACGGTCGCTGACATAGTATCATGGCTACCAGGAGGGGTTGAATGTCTTCCCCCACCTGAGCTTTGTCCATTACCTATTCACATTCTTTGTACACCGTAAGCGTTCTCTTCAGATTTCGCCTCTCATTTCGAAGCGGGGCCGGTCAACTGAGACTTCTTCTCACTCTACCAAAGTACGGATGGCAAGACTTTGAATCATTGCTTCATCGAGACCCGTAACCTCACTGCTGCTCATTTCATCGTCCGACATCGACATGGTACTAAGATTGGAATTCGACCTTGCTCTGTTGTCTTGACATCTTCTGCAGAACTTCATTCAAAGGTATACTTCCAAACCCGTCTCGGTTATAAAAAAAATGCCACAAGAAGAAAGAACTGACTTCGTGTGTGACTCGGCTAAAAAAACAGATCTTGGGCACTAAAGAGAATGAAACATCGCACGATATTATGAAAACAGTCAGATTGATACTAAAGCTCTGTGCGCCTCATGTGAGTAAATTTGATTTGAATGATACATAAAAGTGAAGTGAACTCAATGTGTCTGAATTTTCGTGAGGAGTACAGTCGACAAGTTCGATCAAATCTCCCGAACGACCGTTCTACCATTTGATGTCGTTACTGTCGCATTCTGTTCATCTTTCCGAGGGAGGTTGTACTAAGGCAGAGGATCCTGGTGAGATCGAGGTGGTTGAGAAATGGACTAACATCCTTCAAATCGCTCTCGAAAGCTTGTTCGGGTGGAAGATCGAGAACAGTGATTCATTGAATATCTTACATCTCATGGTATGCCTGCAACTCTGTCTCTTTTATTTCGTCCTTTTCGTGTGTCTCACAAACTCTTTTTTTTTTTGCTTGGTGTCAGGTCAATGTCGCAATTGTCTCATCCTGTTAGTCACCTCAATTTCCCGCTACAAATCTACGCTAGAGCTCACTCTTCATTTGGCTCGAAAGCTACTTGAAGAATCATGAACACTGACAAAAGATTCCTTGTTAATTTGTTCTCTTTTCTTTCAGTGATTGATAAACCAACTCTATTCCGTTTCTTATCCCATGTGGAAGTCTTCTACTAGTCTAAGAATATCCTGATCAAGCATGGATAAATAAGTTCTTAACTTTTATTTTCTCTCTTTTTCTTCAGGGTACAACTTTTCAGAGATAAAAAAAAACAACAACTACTACTACTACTACTACTCATTATTTACTCCATGATCAAAACTACATAGTCTGGTACCCGATTCATCATCCTTTAAAATGTTTCCTTGTTGCATCAGTTCTCTACATAAATAAGCCGCATATCATCTGTATTCAAAGAACCAAATCTGTCATCATTATGTTCATTATTGTCATTTGAAAGTGCAAGAAATGTATAAGTATTTATCTGTATGTTGTTGTTGTTATAAGCATCATTTCTTCTTCTTCTTTTTTTAATCATATAGTTATGGCACATGTAAAATTAATTGTAAACCTACTGGTTAAAACTTACCCCTCCACCTAATCTTGTATTTCTGCTATGCTTGACTTGAGACGCTGTTTATAAAAAGAATATGCAAACAATTTCATGTTGGTGTTCACTTGAAACCACAAGTTCTTGCACCGGTTGGTGTGATCATGTTTAATATGAGCATTGTAGGGCAACTGGGTGAAGTGTTGTTCTCTGGGCGCGAATGTTGGTCTTGAGGATGGCCAATTCTTTTTGCTGTTCTGTTTGGGCAATCCATCCTTCCTTTATTTTTGCTTGCTTGTCTGCTTTTTTTTTTGTTCTTTCTGAATTTTATTTTGCATTTGGTTTTGTTTTGTTTTTGTTTTTGTTTTGAAGTGAGTGAAGAGAGAGAATGAATTCAAAGACACGCTGAAGAGGAAGAACAAAGAAGCCCTGCATGTGCCTTTCAAGCTTGCCATATCCAGCGCGTACATATAACCCTACAGTACCATCATAAACACAAACATTCCGCCTTTTGAAGGGATTGTTGCGACATCTGATTTCGTCACCGGCTCTCATTCCTCTCTCTTCTCTACACACAATACCACTCGACTCATCAGCCGACCACCAGACATACCCACCAGCCTCTCTCCGCCAAGAAAAGAAAATCAAAAACGCTCGCCCATTGCGAGATCCACCCCGCCCTGCAACGAGCTTCTCGCAAGACCATCAACAGCAGCAGACATTTTGTGCACTTTCTCAGGGGGGACCGAGTTTCTCGACTTGCTCAGACTACTTAAATACTTGATCGAGTCCCGATGGTAGCAGCGGTTACGGAAGACCTTCAAGCGTTCCGACGCCACCGACCGATGTGGGCCGACGGCGAACAGACCCCTGAAACACCTGCCCCCTCCTCCTCCTCCTCCTCCCCTCACCAACAACAACAACAACAAGAACAAGAAGAACGGATCTCCTGGCCTCTCATCTCCTTCGAAAACACCATCCAAAACGTCTGCTGTATCAGCTTCCTCCTCGGCCTCTTCTTCGCCTCCAACCTCCTCTCGCTCCTCTTCTTCTTCCTCTATTCTCCCGCCAAGCAGGCGCTGTGGCCGCCCTTGAACATCTACGCGATCCTCCTCATCCTCTTTCATCTCCTCGAGTTCCTCACTACGGCCATCTTTAATCCCTCCAGAGTCTCCGTCGATTGTAAGCTCTCTTCTCTCTTCTCTTTTTTTTCTTTTTTCTTTTTTTTTTGGGAGCGGGGGGAGAAATCTTAGCGCGAGCTTGGGGGTCACAGGCCAAAAAAAAAAAAAAAAAACGAACCGAGAATCTGATTCTCTCTTTCCTTCTTTTTATCTGTGGAAGCTTTTTTATTAAACAATGGGGCCTCATATTGGTATGCGCAAATGATGAGCATAACGGAATACGTTGTGCGGGAGCGATATCTGGGAAAAGACGGATGGGGCCTGGGGATTCTGAAGGACGATCGAGTGAGGTTGGGCGGCTTGCTGGTGACGATGGTGGGCCAAGGGATCCGGACAATGGCGATGATCACGGCGGCCCGCTCGTTCAACCATCGGGTGTCGACGGACCCGAAGAAACAGGAGGACCATCGGCTGGTCACCCATGGCGTCTATCGTCTCCTCCGCCATCCCTCCTACTTCGGCTTCTTTTGGTGGTCCATAGGCATCCAACTCTTCTTGGCTAATCCTTGCTCCCTCATCCTCTTCTCCTTCGTCTTGTGGAGCTTCTTTAAGGCTCGCATTCAAAGTAATTTAACTTCCTTCAAATATTCCCCCCTCTCTTTTGACTTACTAACTCACCTGTTTCTCGTCTTCTCGTTAGATGAAGAGCTTCACCTGATCAAGTTTTTCGGTAAAGCTTATGTCGATTATCGGTCTACTACCTCGACTTATATTCCATTCATCAGATAAACCTCAAACTACATTTCTTTCTTTTACTTCATTTCAAAAAACAAAGACAATTGATTCTGAAGAGAACACTCATTCCTCAACTTGTATATTGATAATTTGTAGTGTAGTCTCTCTCAGGATCCACTTAAATACCCTTCCCATTGTTATTTGATTGGGCGGAATCCTTGATTGTGTACCACATAGTAGAATTGAGTCTCGCATCAACATGTAGAAACAAGCTACAATGTTGTACAGATTCTTTCGAGGTTGATTTTTCAAAGGAATGAAGGAATTATCATTGAGAAATCAACAAAAGGAAGATTAACAAAAGACCTGAAGACGCCACAAATACTAAGTGAATCATGATGATTGCGTGACAAGAATTTCCGTTTCATCTTGTTTTGAGGCGATAAGTTAGCAATGTGTGTCAAGAGCCCCGACAGACTCGAAGATTATCCAAGGTCGTTTGGGGATACCGGTGAGATCAGAAGATGGATCATTGTCGGGCCTGTGCCGTTTTCGGACGACCAAATCGGTGGAGGCGTCCAATGAGATCTGCGGGCTCGCCAAGACTGCCAGAGCGGAAGGGGATGGATCGGGTACACTGGACGGGTCGGAGGAGCAAGCAGGGGCCTCTTCTGCTTCCTCGAGCGCAACAAATGTCCAGCTACTCGGCCCAGCATCGACAGCCCTCTCGGGCCCAAGCATGGCGCCCTTCCCCTTCTTGACTTTCTTGGCCTTCTTCGCTGGAGACGGATCGACTGGTTGATGAGTGGTTCTGTTGGTCTGTTTCAAGGTCAAGAATGAGAACGGGGCCGAGCGGGCTGTGTGGCCGGTAATGCTGACGATTCGATATATCTTGAGCACCTTCTCGGTTAACTCGGCTAGCTTAGTCGGATGGAAAAACCCAACGGCTTCGATCGAATTGGCCGTTATTCCTCCCTTGGGATGGGGATGGTTGTCACTCGTAGATAGGAGGGCTTCGCCGATCTGTTCGTATAGATCCAGGTAACTCTCAACCGTGTCTGGCTTGGTGATATGAGGGACGAGTTTCTCCAGACAGTTTATCTCCGGAACACGTGTTTTGCATGTTGTTGTAGGGGAGAGAAGGGAGCTGTTAATGGGCTGTAAGCTGCCTGAGTTTGAGGGTATAGGACGAGGAAGGGTCAATATTTATGATTTTTTTTTTTCGAAGAGACAGATCATAAAGATCATAGGACGCGCAATGACCTTGTTCATCAACCCAGGCCATCACAACATCCCAACGACGGCCTCTAGTTTCGTGCTTGGGGCCCAAAAGGTCGTTAAAAACGTCTCCAGGGAATTTATCTAGACACCTCTTCGTCCGCTCATACAGTGCTTTTCCAGATCGCATCGCCCGATCTCGCATATCGATCTCTACAACTGGTTCGGATAAGAATGGAGAGCCCTATTAATGCCTGGATCATTATCTTCGGAGAAACAGGAGCCCCGAGTAGAATATAGATATGTACCGAAATGTTGACCCGGAGAACCATATTTGGAACGTCTGCCAGAAAGTCCTAGTGTTTGGTATGTGGATTGAGAAAGTCTCATGTGGATCGTGCCTGTTGTTCGAGATGTACCAAAGGCTTAGGCCTCTGTCAGGATTGGCAATCGAATAACAAAGACAAGCAAGACGGGAATTGGTGGAAAAAGCGACCTTAGAGATGCATACCGTAACCATCAATTGCGAAGAGGTCGTCCCCGGTGAATTTTGGGAGTGAGATTGCGACCAAGCTGCCTGGGAGAGTGATCGACAGAAGAAGGTGGTGATGGTGGTCAGAAATCGTCAAGTAGTTTTTTTTTTTCTTTTTTTCATAAGGATGAAGGCTGTGGATGGGTGCAGTGACAGACCTGATCGAAAATAGGTCTGGACGAATTCGTCGAGCAAGAGATCGGCGAGATTGAGGTTGGAGAAGTGTTGGTATTTGCCCAGGTCGGACAAGTGCTGCAAGATCTCCGGACATCTTGTCGGTTCAGATCCGTCGATCGGTTCAGGTTTTTCGGCGTTACTCAGGATGAGATTGATCTGAACTAGAACGTAAAACAAATAAATAAATCGACTTATGAAGATTGATTCTGATTTTTTGTTGGTGATCGAAAAAAGTTGAAACAGTGCAAACCTGAGAGGTGAATGGATGGTGTAGGATCTGCCTGGAGGGTGGTCGTGCTGGTTCGTCTTTAGGAGGAATCGGAATACTGTTGTCGGATGATAAGTAGCCATCGGAAATGTAGAGATGGGCTTTTGGGACGGTGGCTTTGATGGGCTTCTTGTGATGACTCTGGCAAACAAGAAGAAAGATATCGTATTAGTACTTGGATAGTTATCCATGATGACTTGAGGTCTGAGATTTGCTGACCATTTCGACTTGTTTGACTTTGGTATGGTGTTCCTCGTCACATGAAGCTTCAATAGAGGGCAATTTATTTGGATGCTGCGAGGATGCGGAAATGCGCAACCCACCGCAGCAACCATCCCCTCGCACACACTATATAAACCTGATCTATGACTCCCTCGCGTCCTTTTTCTTCTTTTCTTCAACTCATTTCATGCAGCTTTATTGTAGACGACTGGTCCACCGTCTCCTCATCGAGTCGATCCCTGGTCGGTCGTCCCTACCAGCATTGCAAAGATGAACGACCTTTGTTTTCGCCCTCCAGCTGGTGATCCGGAACGTCAGGGGTTTCATCTTTTTTTGAAATCGCTTGCAATCAGGATGGTTATTCTCCTTACCAGGAGCTGGCTACATTTCCTCGCTTCAAATTCATACCTGTTGATCTTTCTCTCAGCTCACCCTCTAGTAGACAACTTTGTTCCTTCATTTCCCATCTGTTTCTACACATTTATAAACAAAGCAAATACGTATTTATTCTGTCTGAATTTTCTGCTGAGTTACCAAACTTCTGATCTGAGGATCCAAACCCAAGACGTTTTTCCTTTTTGGTGTCACCAAAAACGAACAACAGCTGCCATCCTTTCAAGCTGGTTTTGATCTTGCCAACAAATGGATCAAGTAGCTTCTCAGCGTTGCGGTGGAGACAACTGGTAGCTCAATACTTCCTCCTGATGAGGTGGATATGTCAAGACAGTCTCATCAAACCTCACAGGAAATGGGTCATTCGTATGAATCACACAACGAAGCACGTCCCCCTACAGGACCAAGCTATTGGAACCCAAACTCTGAATAGTATATAGTTCCGTGCAGAAGTGACTAAGAGTATGACTCGGAGGTCTCTCCCGAGTCATCTCAGGTGCCGTGCTGCGGCGAGTCAGAGGTATGTAACCTCAATGTTACAACACCCCCCCTCTCGCCGCAGACGCCCTACTACATACAACATGTTGAGTCAGAAGATAAAGGAAAAGAAAGAAAAAAAACACAATATCAGGAAAATACATAAAAGTTATAGGCGTCCCATAATCTTCTCACGCAGATCATTGAAAAGCTCTGGTGATAAACATTTGGTAAATACATCCGCCAATTGCTCCCTGGTGCCCACCCACGTTAGCGTCGTCTTTTTCTGGAAAAGGGCTTCATTGGTGATGTAGAAGTCTCTATCCGAATGCCTAGTCCGTTTATTTGAAGCATCATCTGTGGCCACACGTACAGTTGATTGATTGTCGCAGTGCAAATGTCCTACAAAATCAAGCTTTAGAACATCTTTGATAAGATGGCGAACCCAGAGCGTTTGCCTCGTTGCCACACCTAAAGCCATGTATTCAGCATGACAAGTCGAAGATGCAACAGATTGTTGCCTACGGGCTACCCAAAGAACAGGGCAGTTGAAAACTGTCATGAAAACTCCGTAGGCCGACCTCGAGAATTCCCCTCCCCACGAAGCATCACAGTACGTTTTCAGGGGCTTGCTGTCCACATTGGGGAAAAGTGATAGTCGAAGATTCCTTGTACCAGCCAGGTAGTTGATTAGGTGACGTACACCTTTCCAATGGACTTCCCCTGGTTTTGCTGCAAACCTAGCCAGAAGATTCACGGCATAGCAGATGTCGGGTCGAGTTCCTACCGCCAAGTAAGATAGTGAACCTATAACAGACAGATATTTTCCGGTCATGGATGGATCTCCCTCCGGATCAGTCAAAGCATTGTAATTAGCCGGCAGTGGAGTCTTTGCCAATGACACTCCATCCCATTCTGATTCTAAAATACCATCAATCAAATCCCGTTGAAAAAGTTGGAATCCACGATCTGTCCTTACCACATTTAGCCCAACAATTGAGTCGAGTGAAGAGGACCATTTGATTTTCAAGATGTCTTTCAGGTCACTTTCCAGTTTCTTCAGAAGAGATTCGTTCGAAGCCGTGACCACACCATCATCCACATGTAGCCATATCACACCGTGTTCTTGAGGATGCCGCAGGATGTAGAGACTGTTGTCGTATTGTGAAGGAACATAGTCGAGCTTATTGAGAACGTCCCGTAGATGTAGCCACCAGCATCGTGCAGCTTGACGCGTCCCATACAGCGCTTTTTGGAGTAACAGTCCATGACCTGCTGGCACTTCCAGTCCTTCTGGTGGCTTGACCCAAACCTCTTCGTCGATTGGTGAATTCAAGTAAGCTGCAACAAAATCAAAACTATGAACTGGCCATTTGTTAGCCGCTGCAATACTAAGCAGAACCCGTAGGGCCACAAAAGTCGCCGTTGGGGCAAAGGTTTCGTTGAAGTCGACACCCGAGACCTGTGTAAACCCTTTCGCCACAAAACGTGCCTTGAATCTGACCCCGGAGCCATCGACATCTGGTTTGGTTGCAAACACCCAGCGCCCATTTAGTGCCTTCTTGTCCGTTGGCATCAGGCGGACAAGCCACACCCTCATTTGCTCTAAGTTGTTAAGTTCAACCGCTATCGCCTTTGACCAAGCGTCTTTTTCCGGTGACTTCATCGCCTGTTTGAAGGTTTTGGGAACTGTGATGGCATAAAAATGGCAAAGCTCAAGAATCTTGTCAACTATCAGCTCTTGGTCATGGAATTCAATTTCCCTAGAGAATTCCCCAAGCTGCATCAGGTTCATAACAAAGTCCACACTCAGTTTCTTCGCGTCCATACTGAGAGACGGGTCAATGTGACTTTCTGGTTCAGCAGGAACAGCCGAGTTGTTGTCCAAATCGTCACCGAGTTTCCCAACCTTAGTGAAATGGCTGTGTTCATTATCGACAAAACGAACCAGTGCGGAGTTGACAAAACGTTGCTCTGCAGGGATCCAGAACATCCACCCTTTGCTCGTCTCCAAATGTGCTACGACCTGGCCTTGCAACGCCCTAGTATCTAATTTCAGACGGTTCTCAACTGGGATATGAACGTAAGCATAGCTTCCAAAAGCTCGGAAACGGTCAAAGTTAGGTTTTATTTGAAAAAGAGCCTCATATGGAGTTACCTTCCCACTTGCTTTGTTAGGGAGTCGATTTAGAATGTGGCCAGCCCATTGGAAAGCATAACACCAGAATGTCTTTGGAAGGGAGCTGTCGATGAGGACAGTTCTGCCCATGGCTTGAATTGTTCGGTTGAAACGCTCAATCATTCCATTTTGATAATGGTGATAAGGCAGCGCTCGTTCCGTGCCAATCCCTCTTGTCGTGAGAAAATCCCCAAGAGCCTTGTTGATGAATTCGCCACCATTGTCGCTGCGCAGGAGTTTGACCTTATTTGCTGTTATTCGTTCCAGGCGCGTAATTGTGTCCATAATCACTTTGTTCGAGTCAGATTTTGCTTTGATTGGTTTTACAAAACAGTAGCCTGATGCCGCATCTCGAAGCGTTAGTAGATATTTGCTGCCGTCTACTGCTTCTACCTCAAAAGGTCCAATCAGATCCACAGCCAGAATTTCCATGCGCTTGATTTCACGCTTAGTGGAGCTTAGCGTATTTATGGCCGTGCTCTTACTAATGGCGCAAACTGGACAGTGGATAGACCCGTGTGGTAATGATTTTGGAAGTCCTTCGCCTAATCCTTCCTTGATGAGTTTTCGTAGAGTGCGCAGTCCTGCATGGCCAAAAACCCGGTGCCAAAACAAAAGTTGTTTCTCATCTTTGGAGAGCGATTCCGGTTTCCAATGGAAATTTTCAACCTTTGCCACTGGCTCTTTAAAAAATTCTTCACTGTTGAATTTGGCTTTAGCAGCATTTATTTCTGGTTCATTGGAAGAAGAAGGAAGGAAAACAGAAGGACCAGAAGAGACAGGAAAATCATAAGATGGGATGCTTGATGATATCGCAGGTTCCACATCTTTGGGATAGGAAGAAAAATTGACAGAAGAGACAAAAGCAGAAACACCCCGGGTTGATTCATCTCCATCACTGCGTAAGAAAGAGTATGGTAAACACCATCTATTTCGGGACTTGTCCAGGTGGCAGCTGAAAGCATGATCCCCAGCGTTGTTGAATATCTCGAACGCATCCCTGTCATTGTCATACAGAACAGAAGCTTTAGATTTCCGGAGTGCTGCCATAGAGATTAAGTTGGACCTGGCTTGCTCACAGAAAAGTACCCCTCTAATGACGATGATAAGGCCATTTGGGCCTTTGAATTTTAGGTTCCCCACTCCGGTAATATAGGATTGGTCGGCGGTGGTAGCTACCGAGAGCGGTAAAGGCTTAGAAAGATGACGGAAATCATGGAGAAGGGAGCGGGAGCCAGAGAAATGATGGGAAGCGCCAGTATCAAAAATAACGTTGGGACTCACAATATCTTCCCCCAGCGTCATCGCTCTAAAGTCCAGATCATCAAGATCGTCCGGGACATCCCCAATCTCCATTACCTGAGCCGATGCCCCCCCTTTCTGCGACTGATGTTGTTGAGATGGAGCTTGCTGCTGATGAGAAGACTGTTGTTGGTACCGAGGGCGGTAGAAGTCGGCCAGGCGTTTAGCTTGTGTTTGGAATTGGGACGGGGGGGCATTCGAGGAACGGTTAGACATTGATTGGGTCGCTGGTTGGGTGTACAGTGAGCCGACGAAAGTCGCCAGCTGCCGATGGGAATTGCCTTGATGTTGAGGACCGGCTGGCCCACTCCGCCTCTTTGCTGTTTGGTGATCACCAGCCCGCTGCGTACAATCTCGAGCGTAGTGACCGGGTGATTTGCACTGCCAGCACTTGAAAGCGGTCGCAGCGTAGAACTCCAGGGCTTCTGACCAGTTGCTCTCCGGGACGTCAGCCAAGAACGCGTCAAAATCAAAATCATCGGGGTCCGTAGTCGCCTCCATGACTGACGGCATTTGCGGCCCCAAAGCGACCGAAGATTGGGAGGAGTACTCGATCCATTGTTTTTGGCTTATGTTGTAGTTGTGAACAATTGCTTCAAACTTCGGAAACGTCTTTGTTGAATCATTCTGGATTGCATTTTCAACACGT